GCTAGGTGACATGGACTGTGGATCCAGGATCCAGGATCCACACAACCCAGTGGCCCCTTCAACTCTCAGAACCTCAGGTTGCCCCTCCGAAAATCAGGAGGCTGCAAGGACCAGATGCAACCGAGTGGTGGTTGGTGCCCTACACGCATCACTTCTCAACGCTGCACAGAATGATGCAAACCGAACTGGAAAGGAGAACACACACAAAACAGGAAAAGGAAAACCTTCCCGGCCACAAACTCTCAATTCACTCCAGCCCAGTCCTCCGGGCCTTCCTGGGGCCTGGACAGGAGGGTGGCTCTCCTTCTCTAGATCGGGTGCGCCTGGGCCAGGCACCTGGCATCCGGGAGCCTCGTTTCCTGTCGGCGAAACAGGGCACCTCCGGCCGGAAGGGCCACGCTGTAAGGACAGCTGGGTCAGGCAGGTGACAGGCCAGAGCCCGGCAGGTGCTGGCCCCATCGTGTCAATCCCCGGGGCCAGCGGGGCCAGGGCACTTGTGGGAGCGAAGGGGACCCGACACCCCTGGGTGACCGAAGGGGAAAGAAGGGCCCGTTTGCCTGAGTGACTCGAGTCATTCAAATACTGTCGGGCGCCACACTCCCCGCCACCCCCACCCCCACCCTTTGCCACTTGTAGCAAACCAAGAAAACGGAAGTGACTACCGCTGGTTTTTAGCGACCGTTTGAAAACGAAGACTGCCTGCAAACGGAAGAAGGGGGAACTGTAGTGAGAAAGGAAGCCATGAAGCACAAATACCTCCCCCTCCGCTGGCTCTGCCAGCGCCCGGGGTCTCGCGTGGCTGCGTGGCTCTCGGGCTCCTGTCCCCCAGACGGGCCTGACTGCAGTGCCCGCAGGGCCACTGTCCACACAGCTCCGCCTGCCGGGAGCCCCTGGGCAGATCCTCTATCTGACACCCCTTCCTCACCGGCCCTGGCCCCACGCACCCGGAAGTGGAGGTCAAGGGTGCGGAGGCCTCTGGGAGGGCTCCAGGAGGCCACTTGAGCTGCCAGGAGGCTCAGCAGAGGCTCCAGTGTCCAGAGAGGCCACCCGGGACCTGCTGACCGCTGCCACCTCGGGACACTGGCTGCTCTAGTGAGACGCAGGCCAGGCGAGCCCGAGGGGAGACCCCGCTGCTGGCAGCCAGTCCGTCCCCCACAGGGCCCGGCAGGTCGGAGGGCAGCAAGACCACCTCCCTCTAACTCCCCCAACCCACTGTCACCTCTCAGCCAAATCTGGAAAGGACGGGGGACGTCTGGCTCCACGGACGGGAAGCCAGCCACGCAACCCGACACAGACCCAGGAAGGTAGGCGGTGGGACACCCTGGGGGACAGGAGGCCGGAGAGGGACCTGGCCCAGGCCACATGGCAGGACGGCCTGGGACCTACGTGGTTCGGGAAAGCCTGGGGCGTCCCCAGTTAGGTGCCTTGCCCTCTGACCCCAGAGCTGACTCTCCTAAGGGGGTGGCTGTGCCGGTCCCACCCCAGAGGATGCGCAATCAGGAAACAGAAGGGGCCGGGACACCAGGCCGAGGGCTGACCGGGGCCCGAAAGCTCACACTCAGTACAGTCTCGGGGACGGGTCATGGGTTCAAAGGAAAAGCACAACACACAGATTTTGAAACGGCCGTTGGAGAAGGGAGAGGGGCAGAGTGAGTGCTACCCGGGCCCAGTCAGAAAGGCCTGGGCTCCAGTCCTGCCTGTCCAAACGGAGGTCGCCGTGGCCTGAGACCAGGACCTAACCCCGCGGGGCCCAGCTGACCGCACTTCCCGGGGAAGAGCCACGGCCAGGGGTTCTGAGGGAAACCACGGCCTGGCCCTGAAGGGTGGCGTGTCCCCACCCCCGTGCTGAGCCTGCCCACTGAGGGGCCGGGAGCCCAGCAGACAGGAAGGCCTCACTGTCACCAACACTCTGGCCTCTCACCTCATCTCTGCCTGCCACCCGCATGGCGCTCAACACTCCTGCCACACCTGACTGCTCCTCTGCGCCCTGGCCTCGCCCTGGCCCAGACGCTCCCGCCTCTGTCCTCCAGCTCTCCGAGCCTCACTAGCTCCTCCGGGGTCCTTCAGGCTTCGGCGCAGGCACCACTTCCTCCAAGAAGCCTCCCCTGACTGCCGAGGGGCCGGTTCCACGCTTCCACGGCTTCCGTGGCCGCCTTGTGACAGCGTCGGGGGGTTCTGTGACAGCATCTGTCTGTTTGGTCACCTGCCTCCCCTGCCCGGTGCCCAGGACCCACCACAAGGGCAGGCCCCCAGCCCCGGGAGGGGGTGGGGG